GTGAACTATGAGATCAATCCAACTTTCACACATCTCAACTAATTCCACGTGGTACCATCTACCTCCCATAAGCAACAAAAACATATCCAGTGAAATTCCACTAATTGAGGTTTAGGCAGGGTAGAGTGTACGTAGACCTTATCACTACCTCGTGGAGATAGAGAGGTTGTTTCCAAAAGACTCTCGCCTCAAGCACAAGTACTAAATAACTCTCCAGATGGGAAGAAACGACCTGGTGTTTCTCAACCCATTTCATTGTCCATTAGGTCACACTGTTGGGTTACATTAGTCCACCTTCTCATGTGAAAAATTCTCTATAATAATTAAGAGAAATGGTAATCTGACTTGACAACCAAAGAGATCAGAAAAGTAAAAATGAAGGTAATCAAGTGCTCAATAATGCTACTATTATTATATTTTAAGAGCCAAATTGGAGGATACTTAAGCAGAATGTAATGGCAACTTTCAGTAATATAAAAGAATATTACAAATTGATACTGTTTTACTTTGAAAAAGGATGTAATTACTTAAACATCTGAAAGGCGCGATGAGGAAAACTTGCCTCCTCTCTGTTATCGTCTTTTACAGCTGAACAGATGCACAAATTTAACTAACTAACCACACTAGTATTTTCTTTTCCTAATCTTGAAAGTGGACGATCGGATAACATCATCATCAGTTACCAATGTTGCCTCAAGGGCTACAATGGATTCAGGTTTAGTAAAATAAGTGAACAGGAGGTAGATACCGTCCAAGTACGTATTTGTCTCTCCAGCCTTGTTTTTCCTCCTAATGCTGTATGCAAGTGGAATAACCCCTCGGTTGAAGACCTCCACATACATACCACCACCAGCAACCAGCAACTGCCCAAGAGAAAGAAAAACAAAAGATTAAAACTTGCATCGTCAAATAGCATGTGCAACTGAAATTGATGGGAGACTATTAGTTAGAATTGTTCAATCCATAACAGAGTTACTACAAGTCTATTATGTATACTTTTAGATGAGATGGTCATATACTTTTACTATTTCCCTTCACGTGCGGGCTTGATTCCATTTTTATGAATCAGTCATGTGAAAATCCTTTTTTTGATAATGGGTGACAATGAGAGCCTGATCTAATACCATGTTGAAGAGAGTTTCTTGGTTGATTAGACGGAGCAGCTGGTTAAGAGAAAAACACAAAACATGGGGAACATTGGCACTTACCAGTGTGTCTATTGGATTGACCTGCTAGGCAAGCTGAAATGTTGGAACAAACATAGAACAAAGATAAATGTGATGATGCTTAACTTTTTTCTCTCTTCTGGTTTATAAGGCATTTAACAAAATGAAAGTTTCCCCAATCATTTGTATGTGAAAGATGACAGATAGTTTCATCAACTTTAAGTCGATTCATACTCAGTGTAATCCCACATGCGGGATAAGAGAAGGTTGGTGCATACGGAGCCTTACCCCTACCTAGTTAAGGTAGAGACATTGTTTCCGATAGACCCTCAGCTCAAGTAAAAACAACAACCAGTAAGAAAAGGAAATACAGTAGTAAATGAAACATGTAGAAAATAGAGTTTCATCAACTTTAAGTAATTTTATCATTGTTCTGCAGCTTTGCACATGACTATTTTTCTAATAGACATCGACTACAACATCAAAACTGAGATGGGCAAACCAAAAGACATCGTCCATGTTCACAAGGAAGAATGATAAGGTGATAATAGTCATCAGACCGAGGCTTTTGGACTCGAAAAGCAGATGGAGAAAAAGAACAAGATTAAAATGAAAGTTCTTACGTGGGAACAAGAAGAATGAATATTGTAGCAGAAGCTGAGAGTGACTTTCTTCTAACTTAGACCATGTCCATGTCAGCTTAAATTATAACGAAATGTTGAATTATGCATCCAAACTCTGTTGACTGTTGTTAGGTTCAAATATTAGATTTTTCCAACGAATGGCATTCTAGTAAGTAGACAAAAAAACAAAAAGGAAGTATATTTTTGGATAATCTTGTGCTTAAATCAATTGCAAACTTCTTTTGCTTTCAAGCTTCCACCTCTTAACAGAAAAAGAAAAAAAAACAGTTTTTTAGCCAAGAGACGGGAATGGAAGAAATTTTCATCATGTCAAACCGTATATCAATCACTTGTTCTGTTTCCCTAATGATCTCCCTGTTTCAAATGAGCATAATTATCTTCATTTCTCAGTTCACATTGAAATCAGCTGAAGAGTATCAAATGATACTATATGCAGCTCAACTTCTGATAAAAATACTAACTCCCTCAGTCCTAATGTGTGGCACCTTTCACTTCGCATTCATGAACTACGAAAAACATATTAAAATGTATTCTTTGCCTTCAGCATATGGATACAAAGAGAATTACAACAACAACAACATATTCCAGTGAAATCTCACAAGCGGGGTCTTGAGGCTAGAGCATACGCAGACCATACACCTATATCTTGGAGGTAAAGAGGCTGTTTCAGGAGCACCCTCGGGATACTCAGAGAATTATAGTACTTTCTCGTACAAAATGAATTAGTCTAGTTCAATTTATCTCCAAAAGTCAATCAAATTGACTCTAAATAAGCAAGAAACGCCAAACAAATTGGGAACAAACAGTATATTAGTTTCAAAAATTCAATCTTTAGAACTCTCAACTTCAACTCTAATGCTCAAACAGTCAAATCAGCAATTGAAAACTTAAAATCCACCCAAATTGAGCATAGAGCCTTGCAAGTTATATCAATTTCCAAATACATAAACAAGCATTGTTACCTCTTCGTATTTCTGGGTAAGAGCAAGTCTTTCATCTTCAGACATATCGGGTCTCAAAACCACCATTGTTTCATAAGGGCGTAACCCAGGTGGACACTGCGGTTCCTCTTTATCTTCAACTGCAGAAATCCCCGACCATGGTGTCGTCGGTGGCTCATCAGCATTTCCTCCCCCGAATCCACCCTCGAAAAACGAGCCCGAAAATTCTAGAGTTTGGGCTTTCAAGATTTGCCCAGAATTGTTGACCCTTTTGGTGAAACCCTTGAAGCTGAAAGGTATTGAAGGTTTAGAAGAAGTGAGTGTGGAGGTAAGAGATGGAAGTACTGATGGAGAAGAAGAAGAAGAAGACGCCATTGTTGAGAGATAAAGTGGATAAGAAAGAGGAAATTCACAATTTTCAGTTCAGAGTTTAGACATTGGTAAAATTGTACTAGTGAAATTTATTGGTTTTTTTGTTTAGATACCCTCAAGATTTGTAAATGCTACTTTACTCCTTTCTTCTTCTTTTTTTGCAAAATTTCAAGTCATGGATAAAATTTTATTTTATTTTCAATTAATTAAAATGGACAGTTTTGATCGCAATTTTATCATAAATGTTAATTGTTCTATCACTTAATTATTCATAAAATGTTAAGTTTATATTGTTATTCCATGTTTGACGATAGTATAAGTCTAAAAATACTTTCAATTCAAGATTAAATGTGTTTAGTTTGATATCATAAGGATCAAAATTAAAATTTACCCCATTAAGTAACTATACAAGGCCATATTTATTTATTTATTGGCGGTTTGTTTTTCCTCTTAACTATGGTAAGGAGGTTGAAGTAAGCAAAGTTTGAATAAAGAATTTAGTGAAGATCTCCTAATGAACAAGGAATCGATTATACTGTATTTAGCATAACAAAAAAAATAGCACTTTATATGTATGTTAAATCAAATTGCATTGTTCATAAATTCGAGTTATGTTTGTTGAATCGAGAATTGTCATCTTGTACATAATTATGTTGTTGGCAATGGACTTGATGAACGACTTATCGCACTTCTACGCATGATTCTTGTAGGATGTATTTTTAGTCGTATTCATTTTTTTGTAAATGAATAGACAATCCAAGAGAGTGACCAAGAAACAACATACACTTGCTAGTTTTTGAGGTTTGGAACCCTCCTCGATTCATTTGACTCGAGGAGAGACTTCAAGGGACAAGCATCGCATCTAGGTAAGCAATGTCTAATTGAATAGATCAATTGGATCTTCCATTTATGAAATTGGAAGATAAAAAGAATAATTGGAAGTTTGCAATAGAAGTTGAAGCATGTGCAATATTAAGTATATCCACAAAACAAAGAAACTCTATACAATTTTGGCTTATGAGTTATGACATACCCAACTCCCTAAGTAGTGTACCTCCATAGGCCCCAGCAAGTGTACCCCACCTTAGTGAAGGAGCACCCAAAACAGGGTCTTAGCAAAAGTTACTGGGTTCGTCAGAACCCACACTTAGCACACTAGCTCCGCTCCTGATCAGGACTGTAGTTAAAAGGGTAAGTTACAAATGAATGACGAACCCCCAAATCAAGTGCTTAGAATGCAAGCAAAATACAAAATAAAGTGCAGTAAATTCTGATGATGCTCTCAAGTAGCTCTATGTCGAAAATTCCAGGTAAGGTAACTCTCAAGGCTAGAAGAATTTTCATGAGCAGCAAGGTATATTCTATGTCTACCCATGAAATTACAACTATGCTAGAAAGATCAAAATTCCTTCACAAGGCATGCATACACATCACCCTCCCCAAACCTGACGGGATTACACTGGGTATGTTGTTTTTTGTTGCTAGAAAGATCAAAATCAATAGTCAAGATAAAGTTTAATTCCAGTCTCTTTTGACCCCTCATCACTCTCCTAGAAGCATTCAGTATTCAGAACTACTATCTACATCTACACTAGTAATAGGTCTTACATCAGTATCTACAAAAAACGAGTTCTTTCTCCTACACATGGTTAATAGGGAGAAGTAAAAGAACGAGCAACTGAGCAAGAGTAACCAAGAGGCCATTATAATTCGAACTTGTCACACTGAAGATCAAATATTTAGCATTTCCGTTCCCTTAGTTATTCTGTTAAGGGGGTACACAAGTTCTACACTGGAACATCTTTAACAAGCTTAGAAGCTGGCAGTCGACATATGAAACTACATAACAAGGTTCAGGTTTTTCTAACAATGAAAGATTAAAGTCAAAGACAGGGGCTTTACTCATCATCATTACAATCCTAACTACAAGACTCCCTTTCATCACAAGAATTGGTTTCACATTAAAACAACATCCTGATAAGCAAATGCTAAGAAGAGATGGACAGTATTCCACATGTATTCAAAAAACTGCAGAAACTACTATGCATAGGTAGTTGAACTAATGACCTATTTTACAACAGTTGTTCACGAAGACCGAAAAGCAATTCTTAATCTAGAACTAATAGAAGAAGATCAGTTTATATCAGGGTTTCGAACAAAATGTGACTAGACTTGCAGCTTTTCCTCAAGGAAGCTTCTGCATCCATCCATCTATGAACTTTCGTGTCTGTAATATAAAAATTATTGATTCAACAAATAGATTGGTCCAACTTTAAATGAAGAAATGAATTTTATACTGCTATTAATAATTATGCAATGCATTAAACATAATGGCTAATCATATTTGATTGTAAGTTGTAACTACTTTATTACTCAATCTCATTGTAAGTGAAACAAATGTCATTGCATGTAAGAAAATGAAAAATGTGTTCTGTCCTTCTGAATGCATTATTGAACATTATATTGCTTGAGGAAACTGTAGTTTGGAAAACAGGTCACGCACCGACTACTTTGTGCTGAACAACTACCCCCACCCCAACCCCAAAGAAATGAGAGAAGTACAAAAAATGTACAATCTAACCTCCTGATCCTGCAGATTGAAACTGTCCCACCCACTCTATCATACCATGGACATTGTCAGAGACATGAAGCATAAAAGATATTAGCTAATTCAGGATAATATGGGGAATATGTTCTCATAAAATCTTGCTCCAATCTGACCTAGCTGGCAAGCGATCCCAGTTTTATTTCTAGGATCCCAACATTATTTCAAAAGTTAAGCATCACACCAAATCCACATATAGCTTTTGTAATGAAAAAAACATTTTCCGGGATTCCCCCCAGAATGTTCTGGTAGCCCTTCTGTTAATTCATAACAAGAAATAATTGACCAAATACACCTCAAACTCAAAATATAGCAACCAAGTTAAACATGCATACCTCACCCAAGAATCATCATCCAGATACAAACTTTACAACAATACAGAGTGTGTTGAGGAGTATGAGAAGAACTCTCAGATATTGAGTCGCATAAATAAGACCAAGTAGCTGGCCCTTGAATGAATTTCTCCGGACCCCTGAATATTCCTGGAAGCTCCATCCTCTCGGAGCAAGGAAACGGTCTTCGTTCAATATTGCAAGTGCATTTGCAAGAAGCAGGCAGCCCTCGAGCAATGTCCATAAACCCATGCCCTGAATTATGTTGATATTATTAGTATCTCCATTCACAAGAATCCATTCTCAACTTCTCATATCTCACTTTATTTGTATAATCTTTCTAAATCAGCTAAAATGTTTTAAAGATAACCCAACAACACAAAAGGTTAAGAAAATGTAAAATAAATAAATAAAGTAATTGAGTAAATACTAGCTATTCAAAATACTAGCAAATTAATGGAAGCAGTTAATAATCTTTCATAAATATTATCTCTCAAGAGCCATTCTGCTTGCATTTAAGTCTATTTCTAGCCTTACAATAGACCTTACAAAGCGCAGTGTTTTTGCTGCAAATTAAGAAAATCGAATTCAGGAGCTGGCTGATATCTTGGGATGTTGAATTGAGAAATTCATCCATCTCTCCCCAGACCCCACTAGTGGGATTACATTGGGTATGTTGTTGAATTGAGAAATTTCCTACAGTATATTTTGGAACTATTGGTGACTTACGGAAGAAGCTCATCCCTTGGGGAAAAAATATTTGTCTTTTGGTGGAAGGCTTCCGCTGGTGAATAGTGTTCTTGATGGCATCCTACTTACATGATATCTCTCATGCCTATACCAGCAAGTGTTGAGAAAAAACAATTAACAGTCTTATAAGCGAGTTTTTATAAAAGGGGAACTCAGACAGAAAAAGATTTCACCTTGTAACATGGAAACCAGTGACTAGGAACAAAGAAGGTAGTGGTGACACAACATCACAATAAGAACTTGCTTCGTAAGTGGCTCTGGATACTGAATGATGGAGGAGTTTTGGAAAGAGCTTATTATCACTAAATGTGGTAAAAGGGATAAGTGAACTCCTAATCATGTGAGCATCCTTCCAATGTGTCTGGAAGGAAACATATTTGCAAATTATGGGAGGATTTCAAGAATCATATTAGGCTAAAGGTGGGAAATGGAAGAAAGATACATTTCTGGGTCCAACAGATGAATCGATACAGGGAAACTGAAGGATAAATTTCCAACTCTCTACAGTTTTCTCTGTTAGGGATGCTCTTGAAAGTTGGAGTTCACGGGAAGTTGACAAAGCCATCAAGAGTTATCTCGATGATGATCCCTGGTGCTATCTTTCAGTGTTTATGGACAGTGAGGAACAAAAGATGTTTTGAAGGAATTTCAACTTCTAAAAAAATCTTTTGCGAGGCAGATATCTAGTTAGCCTTTTTAGCTGGTCCAAGTTGACCCCTGTAAATAATTTAGAACTTTTCTTAGATTTTGTTAGCTCTATAGTTTAGGAAGATGCTACAAGGATAAAGCTTGCATCTTCTTGATGCCTTTAAATGAATCTACTGACTTCATCAAAAAAAAAAAAAACTCTCAACAGTTTAGCACTCAAAAATATGTTATGGTTGTTGATTGTGTTGCTAACTTCGATAGGAAGATCGAATTTAGAAGAAACTTTAATAACCAGGAGGTTCAAGATATCAGTTACCTTTTGACTCTATTACAGCCAATCTCTCTTGATGACAAAAGGATGGACTCACAAAATAGGCTTGCCTGCACTAGAGGAGTGCTTTTATTTTAATCATGATGTATGGCCTAGCTTGCGGACACCTCAACTAATTCCACAGGTACCTGTTATCTCCAACCAGCACAAGTATCGGGTAACTTTGTCGACCAAGGCATGGACAAATGAGAAGAAATCACCTAGTCTTTTTTACCCCGCTGAGTTTTGAACCCAAGACCTCATAGTTCTCAATCCACTTCATTGATTAGTGGAATTTTTTCTATTAAGAGCTACAACAATCTTCTACAAGAAATAGATGGTAATTGAGAACGAAGCTGGCCTTGGAAGATAATTTGGATGACGAGGGCACCCAAATTTTTTTGCTTTGACTAGATCCTTGCCCATAGAGCATGTGTCACACAAGTTATTTTGCAAAGAAGAGTTTAATTTCATGTGCAGTAAATGTTTACCGTGTGGAGACTCACAAGAATCCATCAGCTATCTCCTGCAACATTGGAACTATGTTTGACAGATTTGGACATTACTTCTTAACATTTTGGGGGTTGTTCGGGTGATGCCGCAAGATGTTAAAGGATTATATCAGCTCGCAAGGATAGAGAACTGACAGAAAAAGAATGAAGTTTGGAGGGACAGATTTGGACATTACTTCTTAACATTTTGGGGGTTGTTCGGGTGATGCCGCAAGATGTTGAAGGATTATATCAGTTCGCAAGAATAGAGAATTGACAGAAAAAGAATGAAGTTTGGAGGGACAGATTTTGACATTACTTCTTAACATTTTGGGGGTTGTTCGGGTGATGCCGCAAGATGTTAAAGGATTATATCAGCTTGCAAGGATAGAGAATTGACAGAAAAAGAATGAAGTTTGGAGGGACCGTCCCATTATGCATCATGTTACAATTTGGCATGAGAGGAATAGAAGGTGTTTATTGGGAAAAACAACACTCATCTTTTGTAAGCATATAAAATTTACATTTTGGTGCGGGAGCAGCTTGATTAGGTCTCTAGCTCATTTTATGGATTCACTAAAGATGTAATATAGCGCTTGCTCCTCTATCTTTTGTACTTTTGCTAATACCTACTTGGCACTATAATATCAATACAATTAGCTTACCTTATCAAAAAAATATCAAGTTGCTCAAGCATAGAAATTATTAGTATTGAAAATGCAATAGCACTTAAAGAGACAAATGGATACAAACATTCATAATATTCATGTGATCCAGCCCAATTATTTTGAGATAGAGGCCTAATTAATCGATTCGCTTCTCAAACATAGTTTACCCATGATCATTCAACCAATGCTTATGCATTTCCAAATCGTAAGCACGCAGGGAGAAAACTGAAAGAAGGCAGAATCAAATTGTCCAACTGTTCATTCATTTGATCAATATAATCACTAAAACATACTACATGCATACTCACTAAGCATGAAAGAAGGCAGAATCAAAGTTGAAGCCGCAATTTCTAAGTAGTCAGAAATGCATCCACATTCAAGTAAATCTATTTCCAGCAAGGTTCTTTTGATCAATAACTAAACAGAATCAAGCATATTAAATTACAAATACTAAAACTCGCGGCTTCAACAAGCAAAAATCTAGTGATTTTGAGAAATATTTATTTAACCTAAGAACAAGGATTTCAAAACCTTCAATTACAGAGAACAATAGTCGAAATCGCACCTTCAACAAGCAGAAATCACGCTTCAAACTAGCGTCAGATTCAATTATGGTGGTATAGTTGAGCTTTTTTCAATAGATTTTTCTTAATCTTCAATTGTTTCTTTTGTAAAACAAAATGCAATGATCAAACTTACCTGACGACGAGGAAGACGAACGATCGGCGGCTGGTGGCAGGCGTCAACCGGCGGCAGCAGGCGGAAACTCTCAGTGAAATATGAATAGACTTGATTTGGAACCCAGATCTGCAATCTGAACAATACGTATACTTTCACTAAAGAGGCAAAGGGCTAAGTTTCATATTTACAGTCTCCGTTGGTCACAATTTACGTCATACATTTTTTTAAAAACAAATATTTAAATATGGAGTAATAAAAAAAATTTAATTTAACTTTTAAAATTCGATACTATATTGTACTCCTTCTATTTTATATTAATTGAATTTGTGAGATAAAAGACATTATTTAAACCATATTGTCAATTATTGTCCTTTTTGAAAGCATATATATGCTATTTAAATAGTACAAGTTATCTCCTAAAAATATCAAACTTCATTAAAGAAAGAGGCAAATATGAAAAAAAAACTGAACATCTACCTTAAACTTTTAACAGTTTAGTTTTTTTGAATTAATGAAAAATTCCTTTTATTGATTTATAAGTGTATATTTTTTTATGCACATGACAAATATTTTGAAATAACTTGTTAATAGTGACAATATTTCGATTCTATGTCAACCACTAACCATAATATCAATCAATATGAAATAATTGTTATTGAAAACCAGCATTACGTTTAGCTAAGATTTGTATAGTGTAGTAATCAAAGTAAAATTTAGAAAACCCTTACTTATCTTTTGATCAAGAGAAATTAAATTTTTAGAGATCAAAGAGTGAAATTTTAAAAAATAAATGTTAATTTAATTGAGATTATAAGTTACCATTTCATATATAATTTGTTGCTGGCAATGAATTTAATGAATAATTAGCCATTCTTGTGAACAATAAAAATTATTGAATGTGTTCAATTGCCTTCCGTGAACTGTAAAGGAATTAACAATTTAAGAAACTATCAAAAATAAAGTGAACGATTTTCTTGTAATGGTTATTATGCAGTTTGTATTATTTATGTTTTACAACATTTATTAGATACTAAAAGCTGATAAAATAACAAATAAAACTATTAAAATTTAGTAAAAATTAGACAGATTAGGTTATGATCCGTTACTAATCTGTTTTGACTCAATTCACTTTTGCCCAAACAAATTAGGATAGAATTGGATCTTGACCCGTTTATTATCTTGATCGATTTTGATCCGACTAATTGTTAGGGTTTTGCCCTGATTTTCTTTTTTTATTTGAAGTTTTTTTTTTCTTAAAGAAAAGTCAAAGTATTACCATAAATGCTTGAATTTTTTCTGAAAGGAAAATATAATTTTCTTTCATATTTGGTTTATTCTTTCCTTAGAGAAAAAGTTTGGAGATCTATAAATTGAATATCCCTATTCTCATAGCAATACACAATAGCATCCACAATGTAGTCGTTTAAGAGTCTTGTTTATGGGAAATTTTCTCCTAAATATATTTATGTTTTTTTAATATTAGTTTTCAATATGTAGATCGCTTGACCAAACAATATTAATAATATGGCATTAGTATGTTTTTATTTGTCGTCTAATTTATCAACCATCTAATTTGCAATTGTAAGCTTCCGCATGACGCCCTAATCACCTTAATAACCCAACACTAATTACCACCCTAGATCAGCCCAACAACACAAAAGCGTATGAACTCTTTTTCGGTGGGCTTTCGGGCCCCTTATATGAACACCAACGAAAATCGCCCAATTATCTTCCTTCGTTTTCTTGTAGAGAAAGAAGAGAATCTTTCTACAGAGACTGAGAAGAAAAAGCTCTGAACAGAGATTGAACATGGATCAAAAGCTTACAGAAGTTTCACAGAATTTCAAACGATTCAAAGTTGTTTTTGTGCGTAACGATTTTGATACTTAGTGGCTACTCTCCCAGCTCTAGGTTCACTAATCACGTCAAATCATCATCTATCATTGTTCAAACTCGTTTAAACCTTAGTTTGGTGTTCTAAATTTTGCTTAAATCATCTAAATGTGAGATGTTTAGAGGTGCCACTCTTCAATTGGCTTAAATATCGCATTTGTATGGTGATAATTATAGTGATTTATTTATATGCTGATTTTATGTAGAATGATTTTGATGCTTGTACTAGGCTACTGTTTTAGCTCAAGGTAATTGCATTATTATGATTTTACCATAGGTGAGCGTGGTGAAAACCCTAGCCTTCTGTTCTAAATTTTGCTCATTTTATGAAAATGTGGAAGAAATGGTTAGAAACGCTACTCTTCAAGTGTTGATAATTATAAGAGAAAAGACATAAAGTCATCATAGAAGTTGTCTCGAATTTTCTAAAAGACACCTTAACTTTGCAATCGTCTTATTACCCCACTAAACAATTTTGAACAAATATTATTATATCATTTTTCGATCAACCCCAAATTTTAATAAGCAAGTGTGTTCACACACCAATCATAACATGACACATATTAATTTAATTAAAAATATATAAAAAATCATTTTAAGTTTTTTCTTTATTTCTCTCTCTCTTACTTTTGACTTATTTTAATTTTGATTTCATCTTAAATTCCACTTCATCTTCCACCCCCACTTTCAAATGATCCATCCTCCATTTTCTTTTTCTTTTTTTCACCTTCCACCCTCACCCCACTCCCCATGTCAAGTTGAACTCCTCTCCCATTTTTTTTCTTTTCTTTTTCTTCTTCTTCTCCCGACAAATTCTTTATAAAATTCATACTATTTTCTAGACTTTATTGAATTATTGATAACAAAATTAATTATTCTTCTAGGAAAATTTAAAATCTTGAAGGTATCATCAATTACTCATTTTCATATAACTTCAAAATTAGAAATGATAATTTTAAAAGAATCAATGAATTCCCCGAAAATTGAAAGAACTTAATTGAAATCGGATAAAAAAAACTATATGATACTTCCTAATCATCTTGAAATCTAATGGGTTTATCAAATTGTTCGAAATGTAAGAAAATATTTAGATAAAATTATAAAATTAAAGAGAATAAAACTAATAGTAATAAAAAAAGAAAGGTAAAGTCGTGGTAAAAATGGTGACATTGAAAGTGAGAAGCTTCAATTGAGATGACAATAAATTTTTGAAGAAAAAAGAAAGAGAAAAAATAAAAAGTAAAAAAAGTTAAAATAATAAGAAAATATATTTTATATAAAATACTTATAAAAATAAAATTATATTAGTTATTTTAAGTTGCTCACTCTCTTTTAGAGAGTGCACACACTCTCTATGTCAAGTGGACAAAAAATGATGTAATAATATCAATTCAAGATTGTTTAGTGGCGTAATAGGACGCACGCATAGTTAAAGTGTCTTTTTGAAAATTCGTGGCAAATCCAAATGTCATGTCTTTTCTCTAATTATACTGATATATATGTTGATTTTATGTGGAAGCGAGGTTGATGTTTGTAATAGGCTACTGTCTTAACTTAGGGTAATCACATGAATATGATACACCTAGGTGAACTCATTGAAAACCATAGCTTTTCGTCAGAGTCTTACTCATCTTATGAGTTGTACTCTATTTCGAGTTTTCTTCTATGTTGCCCTCAGAACTATTCTCTTTATGATTGCATTTATCACGAAATTCGACCATTTTGTTAGGAACAATATTGATACTTGCAATAGCTAGGTTGTCTCTCAGCTCAAGTTAATTGATATCAATACTATAGCTCAAACTTTTGCAAAGCCTAAACTATTGTTATAATTTAGCTTCAATTATGAAATATATCGTCACAAATGATTTATGCTCTGTCGCCTTAGAAATCTTCTCTAATATAGCCACCAAGGCTTTGATTCAACATAAAGGAAGTACAACGTTAGATGTATGTTAGGCACCCACCACAAGTTTGAACCCTGTTGAAGAGTAAAGTTTGGTATTTAAATAGTAGGGCAGAGGTATGGGCACATGCTATCCCGAGTGTCAAGCTTGTGCCCTGAAAGGGGTGGACTAATTAACCATCAGGGAATTCATTGATTATAAAAAATCTATTAATGATAACCGTCATCACATATAAGATTTGATAACTTTGTTCATGTTGTGTTACTGTTTAACATGTGCAATTAACTCGAAACAACTTATGAAATATTCAACTTACAAAGTTGATCCTATATACATATTGAAATATAGTACTCTCTATCTCTTTGCTTGTGCACTTTCTCTATGGTTCTTCAAGTAGTTGTTTTATAACAAAATCTTAATTATTATTTTTTCGTTGACATTTGGCTTTATATTTGTAAAATTCATTTTTGTACTATTTATATAACAAATTTTATACAAACTTAAAACCCTTCGTATTCATCAAAACCCTAAATTGAGTTGATATGTAACCAAAATGATTTTTGAAAAATCTTTATCAAAATACTTTTTAAAACTTTTTTTTTATATGTTATGTATAGTTATAATAAAGAAAAAAATAATTTTAATGTTATGAATATATTGAATTAGTGGAAAAAAAATATTGAATTAGTGTATTGTCAATATTCTTAATACATGAACTACTTATATTCATGTATTTGTATTCGATAGGTTCTATTAACCATTTTGGATAAAAATGTATCTATTTATTATGACACTTAATATGATGCTTTTTAGAGTTATTTCTCAACCTATAAATAAGGTTGTTTATTCACCATTGTAAGAGACACTTGGAGACATTTGAATAATATGATCTCTATATTCTACTCCCCATATATCTTGTCTATATTGTTTGTAGTATATTATTTATGTTTTACAACATTTTTAAGTACTAAAAGCTTATAAAATAACAAATAAAGCTATTAAAACTTAGTAAAAAATGGACGGGTTGATTATGACCCATTACTAACCCGTTACCTAACCCATTTTGTCCCAATTCATTTTAGCCCAAATAAATTTGGATCGTATGGAATCTCTACCAGTTTATTATCTTGACCGATTTTGACCCGCCCAAATTTAACCTGACCCGCCTAAGACCACCCTACATCAGCCCAACACAAAAGCCCACGAACTCTTCTTCGGTGGGCTTTCAGGCCCCTATATGAACACCAACGAAAATCACCCAATTCTCTTCCTCCGTTTTCTTGTAGAGAAAGAAGAGAATCCTTCTACAGAGACTGAGAAGAAAAAGCTCTGAACAGAGATCGAACATGGATCCAAAGATTACAGAAGTT